TTCATTTAACCAACAGAGGTCTCAGTAGCATGTGGAAGAACCATACACAGCCACAACAGTCCAACACCTCCTTAAATTCCATATCAGCTTGGTCACACACTGCTGTGGGATGGTGTCCCAGTCTACAACTTGCATTTGTCTCAAGTCAGCCATTGTGGACACTCTGGAATGAACAGCACACCCCAGCTGATACTACAGGTCTTTGCTGGGGTTGAGGTCAGGACAACAGGCAGGTCATTTTATCCTCTCCACTCCCAAGTTCTGATCAACCCTGCCTTGTAGGGACAAGCATCATCAGCTTAAAAGGTAGAGTTCAGTTCCAGAATTTGGAAATATGGGATTACAACTGGTTAATTCAATTCAATTCAATTCAATTCAATTTAATTTATTTATATTGCGCCAAGTCACAACATAAATCATCTCAGGGCACTGAACAGAAACATACATAAAAAGTAAGTTAATAACGTTATTTATCTGCGTTACATTTATGGCTAATAAGTGGTGACAATCAGGCACCGTCACTGTCCGCACCGGGGGTACAAGAAACTAAATAAATAAATAAATAAAAAAGAGTCAATAACAGAAGAAGTTCTTTGACAGACTTGGCAAGTTTTTCATGGGTGCATCCAACACACTCAACTTAGCTGCTCAACCCACACAAGCATTTTCCTAACAAATGTGGCACATTTACAAAGGCTTTCTACCAGTACAAGATTTACTAAAAGCATACTTGCATGTTCTCATGTTTGGATGAGTTTACTCTGGGTATTCTGGGTTCCTTCCACAGTCAAAAACATGCATGTTATGCTGCCTTCAGGCCCAGGGCTCTCTTGCAAAAGAGATAATAATAAAGGTTAACAATAAATAAATAAACTGCTGTTCTGTACAGCAATATTGTGTTGGTAACAATTTAGATATTTTAGCATATTTATCACTGTGGTTAGGTTACAGATTAAATCTATACTTGTGTAAACAGACATAATACAATAAAAATGTCCAACAGATAAGTGTCAATAAATGTCATGTTAGTATTATTGAGACACAATGTTTATTTTTTTCCTCAGCCAAAACAGGCTGAATTATACAATCCATCACCTCGGATTCAGACGTTTATTTCAGTGAATCTTGCTGCCATTTATTTCTGTGACACCTGACTGAATACTCATACGCATAATTATGACGCATCGCAGCAATCAAGTAGCCAATATGAAAAAACTATTCATTTTTAGTCTACTATACAGTGGCAATGATGCAGTGAGTGAGTGAGCGAGCTATTAGGGGTTTGAGTCAAATCTCTGTACTCAAATATATGTTGGAGCACATTTCTCCCGCTTGAAATCAGACATGAGTGCATTAAAGTGTGGGCAATGCTTGATGTTTGAATGAACAATTGCCTGCATGTGTGCTGCAGACCAAGATGGTGCCAGGTGAGGTGGCAGTTCATATATGCACACTCACAACACAAAGGCACACACAGCAGCCTGTCTGATGTCAGCTAGGTACCAGAATAACTGTCAAAGCTGCACCAGAGAAATACGCAGTCATCCGACGTTGAATGCCCCGTTTACCCACCTGCACTACTAAACAGTGCAAGACCCCCCTACTTCATACATATACAGAGCGTGGACTCAACCAGCAGTGTACCATGTTCCATCAAAAAGTCAGCCAACCAGATAAACACTGTTCATAAAAGGGAACACCGGTGTTCAGATCACAATGCCAAGCAGTGTTTTCTTGTCAAACACTCTGTTAGACCTGGATCTGGATAAAATATGAAACAGATGGAACAGCTTTGGGTTAACAGAAGCCCAACAAAGATTTAGCCTCAGACAATTGATTAGCTACTGAGCGGTTTGTGAACTCTGGGGTTGGAGTGTGTGAAATGGACAGTGCTAGAACAGTTGTCTGGGTCTGGTTGGTTAAAAACGTTCACCACTGCAATAATGAAACCTGGACTAATTATCAGAGCCTGACCAATATATTGGTAGGGTTTTGATAATTTGGGCCGATATAGGAGTTTGGGGACCTATCAGTATCTGTGATAATTGTTCCATTATACGCCGATGTAAGCACTTCTAATTTTCACCCCTGGAACAGCCATAACTGTACAATGCATCCAGCAGAGAGTGCATGAAGACACTTTCAAGTCATGGCCGTTCACTTAGGTTTCACTTTCAGGGCAGCCAAAGCAGGTAGCAATACTGTGTGGCGTATTTTACTGAACAGATCATGGTAAGTTTATGTTAACTGATCTGTAAAACCAATTAATAATAAATTCTCTTCAATCCTCCAATTCACTTTTCATTAGCTACGTGCCTCTCAAGTTAGCAAGCTAACATTTTGATAACCTAGCATAAGCTACTGCCTAGTAAAACTTTAGCCAGAACAATAAATCTAACATAGAGGTAAATATATATAGTGTTAGTAACATTATCTTTGTCGTCCTCAATGAAATGCATTGTTTGTCCGAAATCTTTACTTCTCTGCAAAGAAAAATAAATGCCACTGTGGTCAATACCAATTAGGCCTTCCCCATACTTGACTGTTTTAAACAATGAACAGGAAGGGCGTTTCTTTGTTAAAATTATATTTTTGTAACACACTTGATAACTTTAAGGTGAATAGTGGAGGACAGAAGATGTGATCGCATGTTAGGACGACTGTTTTATGAACAGTGCACAACTTGTAAACCTACTGTGGGACTATGTATAGCATGGATCTGATTAGCTTAGCTTCATGGTCACTAACAGCTGTCCCCGCTCCACTCGCTGTTTACTTAGATTCTTAGGGGTGGACAAAGCATGTTCAGGCTGCTGTTTAATACACCGCATTACATTGCATTATTATTGTTTAGCGTATAGCTTAGATCCTTGTACAGTGCCTTGCGAAAGTATTCAGCCCCTTTGAACTTTTCAACCTTTTGCCACATTTCAGGCTTCAAACATAAAAATATAAAATTTTAATTTTTTGTGAAGAATCAACAACAAGTGGGACACAATCGTGAAGTGGAATGAAATTTATTGGATGTGTCAAACTTTTTGAACAAATAAAAAACTGAAAAGTGGGGCGTGCAATATTATTGGGCCCCTTTACTTTCAGAGCAGCAAACTCACTCCAGAAGTTCAGTGAGGATCTATGAATGATCCAATGTTGTCCCAAATGACTGATGATGATAAATAGAATCCACCTGTGTGTAATCAAGTCTCTGTATAAATGCACCTGCTCTGTGATAGTCTCAGGGTTCTGTTCAAAGTGCAGAGAGCAACATGAAGACCAAGGAACACACCAGGCAGGTCCGAGATACTGTTGTGGAGAAGTTTAAAGCCAGATTTGGATACAAAAAGATTTCCCAAGCTTTAAACATCACAAGGAGCACTGTGCAAGCAATCATATTGAAATGGAAGGAGTATCAGACCACTGCAAATCTACCAAGACCCGGCCGTCCCTCTAAACTTTCATCTGGAACAAGGAGAAGACTGATCAGAGATGCTGCCAAGAGGCCCATGATCACTCTGGATGAACTGCAGAGATCTACAGCTGAGGTGGGAGAGTCTGTCCATAGGACAACAATCAGTCGTACACTGCACAAATCTGGCCTTTTGGAAGAGTGGCAAGAAGAAAGCCATTTCCCAAAGATATCCATAAAGAAGTGTTGTTTAAAGTTTGTCACAAGCACCTGGGAGACACCAAACATGTGGAAGAAGGTGCTCTGGTCACATGAAACCAAAATCAAACTGTTTGGCCACAATGCAAAACAATATGTTTGGCGTAAAAGCAACACAGCTCATCACCCTGAACACACCATCCCCACTGTCAAACATAGTGGTGGCAGCATCATGGTTTGGGCCTGCTTTTCATCAGCAGGGACAGGGAAGATGGTCAGAATTGATGGGAAGATGGATGGGGCCAAATACAGGACCATTCTGGAAGAAAACCTGTTTGAGTCTGCAAGAGACCTGAGACTGGGACGGAGATTTATCTTCCAACAAGACAATGATCCAAAACATAAAGCCAAATCTACAATGGAATGGTTCACAAATAAACGTATCCAGGAGTTGGAATGGCCAAGTCAAAGTCCAGAGCTGAAGACTGCTGTTCACAAACGCTCTCCATCCAACCTCACTGAGCTCGAGCTGTTTTGCAAAGAAGAATGGGCAGAATTTCAGTGTCTCCATGTTCAAAACTGAGACATACCCCAAGAGACTTGCAGCTGGAACTGCAGCAAAAGGCGGCGCTACAAAGTATTAACGCAAGGGGGCCGAATAATACTGCACGCCCCACTTTTCAGTTTTTTATTTGTTAAAAAAGTTTGACACATCCAATAAATTTCATTCCACTTCACGATTGTGTCCCACTTGTTGTTGATTCTTCACAAAAAAATAAAATTTTATATCTTTATGTTTGAAGCCTGAAATGTGGCAAAAGGATGAAAAGTTCAAGGGAGCCGAATACTTTCACAAGGCACTGTATACTTTTTCTTTTGATACTTTATATTTTTGCTATTTTTGGGTGTAACTAAGACCTTGAGTACACAATTTTGTTCCACCTCATGTACCACATGTGATGCGAATGACAATAAAGAAACTTGAACTTCTTGTGGTAAAATTACATTCATATAATAGACGTAGCTTCCACAAGCTAACACACTGCTCTAACCCTCACTGGGTCCAAGCGGTATTGGTGATTATGACCAAGACATGACAAAAAGCTAAATTTTGCACCTTGGGAGTGAAGCATCTTTGTTCTGTTTGCATCATGTGGACCCTCTCTTGGCGTGCCGTCGTGCATGCCAGTTTATGACATCAAGTCATTTATATTGTGATGACATGTTTTTAATAAGGCCCAAATCTTTACAGGCATAACCTTGATAGCATGATATGGCACAGTGTGACATCTCACATGCATGGCAGAGCTCTGAACTGATAAATACATTTATATCACACATGTTAGAAAAAGGAAAAGTATTGGTTAGTCGGTGTGAGAAGTATAAAGGGTCTTACTTCTGGCAGAGCTGGTTAAAGAGGGTTTTTGGATTAACGGGGCCTTTCCCTGACTCCTTCATGCTCTGCAGGAAGTGAATCATAGCTGAAGTTAGGGGCTCCGGAGTGGGCAGTGTGACCATTAGAGGATTCTGAAATATGAAGGGACAAATTCAAAGTAAAATTCCCATTGTTAAAGCAGGATATTTGTGGCAGTAATGGAATAAAGTAGAATAAAGGCAAAGCATATTTTATGCATCAACACATTACAGAAAAATAAGTTACCAATTTTTACTTTTTTGGATTAGTTTTTTTATTTGACAAAATTCAGAAAAACGTATCTAAAAACTGACATGATTTCAATTTACCTTTTAATGTGTAACCCACATTTAGGCCTGTCACAATAAACAATAAATCAATAAACCGCATGATATATGAAAGTTATCGACCTCATTTTCATTTATCGGCTTCATCGTTTCTTCGTCTCTCTCTTTCTACTGAAGATACTGGACAAAGGGCTCAACTCTGGTGCTCTTCAATGACCCCTTCCCTTTCTCTTTTCTCTTTAAAATCTGTTTTAACCATCCAAAATCATGTTTTTGCATCTTTAAAAGCAGCTAAGCTGAGAAGCTAAGCTAGGAGCTAAGCTAAAAGGCCGACCTCAAGAATAAACCTCCATCTTGTCGCGCTCCCAAATCCACGGGCGAAACCCATGCCTTCGTGTAAAAAGTTTTTTTCCTCTGCAAAAAGAAGCTGAGAACTTGTTTACTGAATTTTTTTTTTAATTAAAAGCTTTGTGTGAAAAATGCTATATCGTCCAGCAAAATCTGTTATCATGACAGGCCTACCCACGTTAGCCTTTTCATATACAGTAGTCGCTTGCTACTTCGCGGGTCGTTTTTCGCAGGTCGTTTTTTGCAGACTCGCTCTATCGCGGTTTTTCAAAGTAATGTTGGACATGACACACAATGGCTGATTGATGGAAGAGTTACATGATTGGCACGGAAGTTTTATTTAAGATAAAGTATTTTAAATTATTTTTTCATTCAACCTTTATTTATACAGGTTAATCCCAGTAATTTAGCACCTGTGTGCAGCCCACAGCTGTGGGAGAAGCTTCCTTCTGCAGCTGATCAGCTGATTTTAGCTCTACACGGAGATCAGCTGATATCAGTGTAGAACAGAGAAGTGGGCGTGGCCAAGAGTGCAGCCAGAGGCAGAGAGCTGAAATCATGACAGTCTGCTCTTTTAGAGCATTTAGAGTTTAGAAACATTGTTTAAAATATTGCAGGCGTGTGGGAAGGGTTTAAAACGCCTTCATATATATATACAAAAATAAACTACTACTTACGACTTGTACATCTACTCCTACTTTGCGGTTTTTCACTTATCGCGGGGTTTCAGGGTACGGATCCCACGCGATAAACAAGGGACTACTGTATACATTTTTTTCAAGATGTTTTCTCAACTTAGTTTTTATTATGAACCTTATTTTATTCTAAACAAAAAGAGCATTTGTTCTCATTGTACATTAGCACTATTTTTATTTAATTTACAAAACATTAAAAGAAGAACTGCAGCATACATACCAAATTTGTTTCAACAGGCGGACAGATCTTCAGCTTGTACCCTTTCTCCTTCACTTCCTGGATCAGGTCAATGAGCATGTGTGTCTGCGACAGGTTCTGTGCAAGAAAGACAGATTTAGATCGATTCACATATTTCTGATATACTTTATTAAAAACAAAACTTAAAGGCACCTATCCTGATGCATGCTCAATAATCCAGGTAGAAAAATCTAACAAAAGTTAAGTCAGGTCCTCTGTTCGGATTTAAAAAAAAATTGTTAAATTTTTTTTTATGGGGTTTACGAAAATGTTGTGGGATGAAGCATTTGGGGGTTTGTGGGGCAAAACTGATGACTTGATTAAATTGTGTTAACTGCCTTAAATGTTGTCCTTGGTGTACAATCTATTATTAGTTTATTTATGAGAGCATTTTGCCTGTGTGGGTCAATTATTTTCTGTTTACTGTACTGGGTTATTCCTACACCTCAAACAATACAAGTTTTTGTGCTGTCAGCTCCAGGCACTGCGCATGATTTAATTAGCGCTTTATGTAATTAATCCCCCTTTTACCATAGTTTTGGGGGCAGAGTGTTGCAGATGGACAACCGGATCATCAGCCGCATGCGTTTGCTGACTGTTAATAACCATAATAACTAGAATAATCCACTGACTCTTGTTAATAAACAAGAAATCTTATATCTTTCTTTCTTTGAAATACGTTTTTAAACTATCATATCTGTCATATCATCATATGAGACATTATATGACGATATCATATCATATCATGTCTATCATATCATGTCAAACTGATTTTCTTACAAAAGTAATAATCACTTAATTAAAAAAAAAGTTTTTTTTTTTTTTTTTTCGGGTTTGGGCCTTTAATTACAGTTAAATGGTCGGGTCGGGTTCAGAAAAAATGGCTACGGGCTGGGGCCGGGTGGGGTTGGATTTTTTAGGCCCGAATGCAGCTCCAATGGACGGTTCCTCTTCACAGAGATGACTTCTTTCACTCCTCTCTCAAAGACTCAAAGCGCCTCTTAAAGGCTTTTAATCAGTTGTAGAAAGAGCTGAAAACAATGCAGAAAATTTATCAGTTTTTCAGACTAATGAGGAACCAGCAGTAGTTGTGTGAACAATAAAAGATAGCTCTTAAAATGATCATATTTTAAAGACTAAATAAATGCAACTTTGCTTGTGGCAATTAAAAAAGCTCAATTATAACACCTGTGTAAACTGTTATGTCCATTTTAGGGGGATTTGGCAACTTCTGGTGAGCTTATTATGCTGAAAGAGGCTTTAAAAATCATCTATGATCTTTGAGTTTTCAGCAAAAAGACGGCTCCTTGGCACAGAGTTGGCCTGAAACAATCATTGTACCTCCACGATACAGAAGCACCTTTTTTCCATTCCCTTCAGGATATATTTGGTTTTGTCCCATTCTGCCAGTAAAGACTGTTGCTATGGAAAACGCACAATGGCGCTGGCATTGTGAACACAGACACAGCTCATCCTCTGACAATTATGTGTTTTCACCAAAAAAAGATTGCAATTTTCAAGGAGACAATACAAACAGACAGGGAGAGGGAGGGAAAGCATGCAAAGCGCGCTCACTCGAATTTCAATTAACGAAGAAGACCCTGAGGGTGATTAATAAAATGGCGGAAAAAAAACAGCTTCATTGTTGAAGAGGCACGTCAGTTTGCAGTCACCATGACATGACCAGAGAAAGACGGAGGAGGCTCTATAGCTGTTGTGTCGTCAACATGCTCCGCACCAACTGAGAGCCTCTTGTGTTCATGCAGGTGAATGAGCCGAAGGCGGCTCTGCGTTTAGTGCTGCACTGAATATGCTACACAACATGACCTGTTTATATTCAGCCATTGTAGAAACCGATTCGGTTGTACTAAAGACCAGACTCGTAAAAGGAGGCACTTGATGAGTGTTTACATGATGTACACATTTGTACTTCTGTCAAAATGGAAACACTTTTGATTCGTTAGGATAAACAGTTTCTGGAGACAAAGCGAGAACTTGAAAGCAGGTTGTTTGCACTGAGAACGCTACTTGAACACGTGAGTGTGCTTTAGATTTATGACAGCATATTTAGCTTTCTAAATACAAGCACCTTACTCCATAACATAAGGAGTCAAAGACAATAAAGGCTAACATATATTTATATAAAAACCCCTCCTTTAATCAAAAAAAAAAAAAAGAAGAGAGATTAAACTCTAAATTCACATTTTCTGATCTAACGTTGGACCATAACATTTTTGGGTGGAAAACAATACATCTTTGGTCAGTAATTACAACAGTGATTTTAATATCTACCTGCATGACAGCATTGAAGAAGCAGGTGTTGCCAAGGTTGGTTATTCCTTTAACAGGGACCAAAGTGCTGTTGATGACTGGGCTCTTTCCTTTGGATGGGTCGGAGTACTCTGAAGCTTCTTCTCGCAGCTTGATGATCTTGGGTGAAACCGCTAGAAATCACACAGATACAAGTACACATATATATATATATATCTGTATTAGTAGAAACTATGAAAGCTTGTGGGTTTCAGCCCCACCGTATAAGAAGAAGATACATGTAATCAATGACTTGATATTTTCTTTGGAAATAGGAAACAGGAAATAAAAATAAGAACAAGTAAAAGTATCCTTCATCCAAGTTTTAACAACCAACAACATATTTATCTTATTGGATGGCCAGTAGGCATCTACGCATTTCAAATAAATTTGATCTAATAACAAGAACCTCAAAAAAAAATATATATATAAAAAACAAATAATTATATAAAAAGTTACCAAGGATTTTCTCAAACAAACATAATTAAGAAATACAGCATATATGCAGCAGACATATGAAGCATTCCCCAGTTAATATAATAAATAGAATCTATCTTTACATTTTTTTTGTTTGCTTGTTCCATCCATCCATCCATTTTCTTCCACTTTTCCGGGGTCGGGTCGCGGGGGTAGCAGCCTAAGTAGGGAGGCCCAGACTTCCCTCTCCCCAGCCACTTGGGCCAGCTCTTCCGGGGGAATCCCGAGGCGTTCCAAGGCCAGCCGAGAAACATAGTCCCTCCAGCGTGTCCTGGGTCTTCCTCTGGGCCTCCTTCCGGTGGGACGTGTCCGGAACACCTCACCAGGGAGGCGTCCAGAAGGCATCCTAAACAGATGCCCAAGCCACCTCAACTGGCTCCTCTCGACGTGGAGAAGCAGCGGCTCTACTCTGAGTCCCTCCCGGATGATTGAGCTTCTCACCCTGTCTCTAAGGGAGAGCCCAGACACCCTGCGGAGAAAACTAATTTCGGCCACTTGTATCCGAGATCTCATTCTTTCGGTCACAACCCAAAGCTCGTGACCATAGATGAGGGTAGGAACGTAGATCGATCGGTAAATTGAGAGCTTCGCCTTTTGACTCAGCTCTCTCTTCACCACGACAGACCTGTACAGCGCCCGCTTCACTGCAGACGCTCCAACTATCCGCCTATCAATATCACGCTCCATTTTTCCCTCATTCGTGAACAAGACCCCAAGATACTTAAACTCCTCCACTTGGGGTAGGACCTCCTCCCTGACCCGGACAGGGCACTCTACCCTTTTCCGGCTCAAGACCATGGCCTCGGATTTGGAGGAACTGATCTTCATCCCGGCCGCGTCACATTCGGCTGCGAATCGCTCCAGCGAAAGCTGTAGATCACGATCTGATGAAGCCAATAAGACCACATCATCTGCAAAAAGCAGAGACGCAATCCTAAGGCCACCAAAACAGATCCCCTCAACACCTTGGCTGCGCCTAGAAATTCTGTCCATAAAAGTTATGAACAGAATCGGTGACAAAGGGTAACCTTGGTGGAGTCCAACTCTCACCGGGAACAAGCCCGACTTACTGCCGGCAATGCGGACCAGGCTCTGACACCGGTCATACAGGGACCTAACAGCCTGTATCAAAGGGCCAGGTACCCCATACTCCCAGAGTACCCCCCACAGGGTTCCCCGAGGGACGCGGTCGAACGCCTTCTCAAAGTCCACAAAACACATGTAGACCGGTTGGGCAAACTCCCACGCACCCTCCAGGACCCTGCTGAGAGTGTAGAGCTGGTCCAGTGTTCACGGCCAGGACGAAAACCACACTGCTCCTCCTGAATCCGAGGTTCGACTATCCGACGACCCTCCTCTCCAGAACCCCCGAGTAGACCTTACCAGGGAGGCTTAAGAGCGTGATTCCCCTGTAGTTGGAACACACTCTACGGTCCCCCTTTTTGAATAGGGGGACCACCACCCCGGTCTGCCAATCCAGGGGAACTTCCCCCGATGTCCATGCAATATTGCAGAGTTGTGTAAGCCAACACAACCCTACAACATCCAGAGCCTTAAGGAACTCCGGGCGAATCTCATCCACCCCTGGGGCCCTGCCACCGAGGAGCTTTTTAACCACCTCGGTGACCTCAGCATCAGAGATTGGAGGGCCCCACCCAGAGTCCCAGAGAGTGTTTGTTTTTGTGATTAATTATAACCGTCACCCCCAAAATGGCTAAAACACCTGAAAAGAACACACCCAAATTAAATTAAATGTGATTCTTGAACTCTTTGGCGTAACATAAGTAACGTAAAAGTAAAGTGAACGGTTTGGTCCCCCATCCGCTGTCTGATTATGTGAATACTCACCGCTAAGAGACAATCTGATCCATGAGAATATCATCTGTGAGAGATTGTGTCATCCCATTTTGCCGTATTGTTACTGGGCCATCAGCTTTGTCTGTAAAGGCTACTAATCAGTGCACCCACTGCCTGATGATGTGAGGAGCTGCAGCTCTTTGTGAGTTTTCAAATCTCATTTGAAAAAATTGTTAAAAACTGCTCAGGTATGTAAACATTAACTGTAAGACTGTGTGTGTGCCAGTGATTGAGTCTGTACATGGGTGTTTGTGTATTGTGATTTGAAAACAATTTATAGTGTTATATTCATCCATCCATTATCTTTACCCGCTTATTCCATTTTGGGTCAAGGGGGTTGCCGGTGCCCATGTCCAGCAATCACTGTGCGAGGGGCGGGGTACACCCTGGACGGGTCGCAAGTCCATCACAGGGCCACATAGAGACAAACGAGACAAACAACCATTCACTCTCTCACTCACACCTAGGGACAATTTAGAGTTACCAATCAGCCTAACATGCATGTTTTTGGTCTGTGGGAGGAAACCGGAGCACCCGGAGAAAACCCACGCATGCACGGAGAGAACACGCAAACTCCACCCAGAAAGGCCTCTGGACCGGGGTTTGAACCAGGGACCTGCTCGCTGAGAGGCAGCAGCTCTACCAGTTGCGCCACCGTGCTGCCCTAGTGCTATATTTTCTTTCTCATTTTATTATTGCATTATAAATCAATTTTTTTAAACTTGTCAAGGGATTGCAGATGAGAATTAGCTTTTGCTATATACAGCACATCAAATGTTGACATCTATGTTTGAGTTGTACATTGTCCCTTTTTAAATAAAGTTCATTCATTCATTCAAATTCAAAAGCATAGTTTCTCTGTAAAGGTAACAATGACTTTTTATCATAAATATTGTAACTGTAACTAGTATTTAGTTATTGAAGTTGAAACATGGAAAAATCATAGATTTTTTCTTATATGAATTTTTTTATTATTACTTATTTATGTTTATTCATATGGAGAGAAAGCGGGACTAATTTTCACCCCTAAAATGCAGGGAGCCAGCCGTGTCCTTACTTACAAATGGCGTAATTGTACAATGTATCCAGCAGAGGGCGCATGTGGACTACTTTCAAGTCGTGGTCATGCTGCACACAAGTCATGGTGCAGCGGACGCAGGGAACACCTAAATACTGTGGCTTACTTTGATGAACATAGCATGATACGATTATTGCAACAGATCTGTAAAATAAAAAAATCAACAATACATTTTCTTCAATTCTCAAACCCACTTGTCATTAGCTACGTGTCTCTCAAGTTAGCAAGCTAACGTTTAGATAATCTAGCATAGACTAGATTAAAAGGATAGGCTAGGTTAGACCTTGTAAAGCTTTATCCAGAACAATAAATCTAACGTAGAGGCAAAATATAACGTTAGTAACGTTATCTATGTCGTCCTCAATGAAATGCATCGCTTGTCTGAAATCTTTACTTCTCTGCAAAGATAAATAAACGAACAGTGAAGGATAGAAAATGTGCACGCACGTTAGGAAGACTGCAAGGAGTTAAAACAGGTTTAAAAGTAGCTGTTTATTTAGATTCTTGGGGGTGGACGAAGCTCAAAACTTTTCAGCCAATATATCGATTATCGGCATTAGCCTTTCCTGCCCAATATCGGTATTGGCGACAACCGAAACAGTCCATATCGGTCAGGGTGTAATTTAAATTAAATGTGGCCCGGGGGCAGGCCGTTGTATGTTGACGGGTCAGGCTACTTCTAGGCTCATTTGCATACTGGATGTTGATTGGCTGTTTACTGGGAGAACGGCCTTTGCTGACTGCAGACCGTACGCACAGCCTGGAGCGGAGGGGAGGGAGATGTAAGAAAAGAAAAAAAGCTTGTGTCTATTTTGGCAGATTTGATTTGAATGGGCATTGCCCCCTCTTGCCCCAGCGTATAGCCGGCCTCAGTGGTCAAGACTGATCATGAAATTAGTTTTTTCAAGCTGCAAAGAAAACAAGTCAGCTTCTTGTTACCTGTGACTGGGGCAAAATCCCTGAAAGAAAGGACTCTGCCTTGAAATGAGACTGGGAGCAGGGTGCTGGCGTGGCAGCTGGATGGAGAGCTGGGTCATTTGGGAAAGCAGATGACAGCTGTTTGAGTTTCTGCTGGTTAGTGAGGGAGGAGTGGGGGCTGGGGTTGGAGAAACTGCTCTCCAGAGCCAGCTGTTACTCCCGATGACCAATGAAAACTAACCTTCAACAGAAACGACGACACAGATGGTTAAAGTCTAACAGAGCATGAAACGGGAGAATAAGTACAGTAGGTACTGAAGCTGTGGGAGCTGATCTGATGCCAGCAGCTGACAGGAAAGTTCAAACTTTTAGGACTCAGTAACATGTGAGGGTACGCGTGAGGGGCTGCTGACAAACAGACTGCAACAGGAATGTATAACTGAGCACTTTAGGATTAAGAAACAATAAAATGCTGTTATTCAGAAGAAACAAGATGCACAATCACACAAACATTCCCCAGTATACTCGTTCTCTGTACTGTAACTGACAAACAAACGACTGCCTCAATAATAATTAGTTTTATTTAAATAAAAAAGCTTAATAGAATTAAAACAAACACTATTAAGACTATTTATTTAGTGAAATTTTAAGTAAAATTGTGAGCAATGTGAGCTTTCCATTTTCTGAACTTGTTCTGCTCAATACGATTCTGACAATTAAATACAAACTTAAATAATTAACTGGAATGACTTAATATCTAAATCCTCATGCAGAGATTTTATGTTGAAACAAGTACATTTATTA